TTTAATGACTAATTAAAAAGAGGATAAACGTATTTGCTCAGTTTAGTTGAAAGCATTTGGGTTCAGTTAACCAACATCATGTGATGTTCAACACACATTTGTCTTCTATCTTTCTGACCCATCTTTTCTACTCTTTCCCAGCCTGTTGTAATCATATAGAAGGAGTGGGGAAGGTTTGAGTGAACAACAGAAAACATCTAAAAAAACAACCCCCCGTAACAAAACAGAGTGACAGAGTGAATTGACTGGGCCAGTGTGATGGGTATGAAACCATACCTCAAGTTTTAAATGTCCCCAGTTACACAGTGGCCTTAACATTTGTGAAAAGTTTAGAATAACATGACTGAATAACTGAGCTAGAAGGGCCTTTATCACAGGGGGTTAAATATACAGTGGGGAAAATAATTTCTTGGTCCCCTGCTGAATTTGTAAGTTTGCTCACTTTCAAAGAAATAAACAATCTCTAATTTTATGCAAATTTCATTTTAATAAAGAGAGAGAATATCAACCCAAGCTTTACATAAATTACATAAAAGTGATAAATTGATTTGCGTGTCATTGTGTGAAATAAGTATTTGATCTCCAAGCCAAACATGATTTAGTACTTAGTGGAGAAACCCTTGTTTGTAAGCATAGCGGTAAGATGTTTCTTGTAGTTGGTCACGAGGTTTGCAAATATCTCAGGAGGGAGTTTGGCCCACTCCTCTTTACAGAAAGTCTCTAAATCATTTAGGTTTCTTGGATGGTGCTTGGTAACTTGAATCTTCAGCTCACTCCATAGATTTACTATAGGACTGAGATCTGAAGGCTGGTTAGGTCACATGACCTTAATGTGCTTCTTCATTAGCCACTTCATTAGCCACTCCTTTTTCATTAGCCAACTTCCTTCATATCATTAACAACTTTGCTGAGCAAAGTAGCATTGGGATGATCCACCACCTCGCTCTCTTTCAGCTATTTAGACAGCCTCAGTGTCTCTGCACAAAGACACTTACTGTAGAGCGTTCATTTACCTTCGCTTCAGTCATCTTTAATTCCAAGCTAATTTATGTGAGCTCTCTGATGACAGCTGACAGCCATATCATGCCGTTAAAACTGTGGCAAATATCTCTGCCAGTGTGTTGCTAACACAACAACCACCAGCCATCCTTCATCAAATTTGTGCGAACCGCTTGAGAAAGCTTTCCGCTGTGATTGCACAACCAGGCACTCTGCCTTTTGAGAGGTTCTGCTTCTGCTGTTTCCATATTGTCTTTTATGTTTGGCTTCAGTTTTGTGTTATGCTTTCAGATTTGAAAAGAAAAACTGAATAATGTTGGCTTAGAACAATTCAATATATGACCCAATTTTCTTTGTAGCCTGTTTTCTTTCACTTCTCTGTTCTCTGCCTGTAATGTCTCATCTCAATTTTTTTTTCTGTATATCTCAGTGAAGTCTCTCTTTCTTTTCATTTTTCCATCCTGCTTCTTCTTTTATATTCTGCTTCTTCTTTTATATTCTCCAATTTCCCCAATCTCAAGCATAGCTTTCTGTTTCTTACTGGTTTATCTATCCCACCTCCAGTACTTCTGCATTTTCTCAGTTGTTTTGTTTCCCATGTTTCTTGTCTCTCTTGCCTCACCTCTATCTCTATCCACCTTCACTCCACCAGATCTGTCCAGAGTCAAGTTGATGAGGTATGAGGACCCTTTGCTCGGCCCTCGCCGGCTGCCTGTCCTGGGACAGGAGGAACAAGGCAAACTGCTCATCTCCAACAAATCTGTGTTCAACATCAATCTGGAGGAGAAGAAGGTCACTCTGGCTGACAACGGCCTAACTGTAGACATTGGCGACACTTTGGTTTATCTGGTTCATTAGAATAACATTGATCACACACACACACACAGAGGTGAGGGGGCATGTTCAGTAGTTGTTGAGCTTTGTTGAAAATTCAAACACATCAAGAAATGTTACAGCAAAACAACTCATTTTGATTTAAAGCATCAGGGCAGCAACTCAAAGCTGTATCTGTTTTATAATTGATATTTCTGTTTGTAAACTGATGAGTGTGACATCAGGAAATACTGAAACTAGCTGGACCTAAAATGATGGTTTCTGTCTTCTTTTCTTTAAAACAAATTCTATATTTGTAGTACATCCACATCTGCCTCTGGGCTATTCCTCTGGTACAGTTTTCTCCTTAAGAAGTCAGTATTGCAAAACAGTAATAACAAAATACTGCAAACTTATCCTAAAAGTTTTGACCTTTTTTGTCATGGTTGCAATCAACGACAGCACTAGAATTTGTCATCTGTTTTGCAGGACTCAGGAACTCAGTCAGCGGTGTCCATATTAAAATCGTCTGTAGAGTTTATTCTTGTCACAGAAAACCACCGTTTTGATGTATGTTTATGTTGTGAGACGGCTCCTGCATCCTCCAGAATGCCTGATGGTTTCATACAGAGGGTAACGTGCCTTGTGTTGTTTTATACATCCAAGGTGAGGCGCATCGTTCCCTTATGTTTGTCAGCCTGTCAGACAGCTTTCCTGTTTTCTAGCTGTGGATGGTGCTTGTCTGGCTTTTCCAGATGAATAATAAAACCTATGAAACATTAAACCTCTGTGGTGTTTGTCTCCCTCTAACCTCTATGCTGGCAGTAGCGCAATAAAACGAAATATGTTTACTTAAGAGTTATGCTTATGGGCATGTTTGAGATATCTGTGCTTTTCACACCTCTGTTAGCTTCTACTACATCACATCTCACAGGGAACTAAAGCTCAAGTGTTAAAATTACAATTCACGAGTTCAATCTAGATGTCTATAGTAAAAGGTTAGAGGTTATTTGAGGAGTAAAGCAGCCTGGATCCAACTACTGTATAGCCAATATCTCTTCTGTTAATTCACCAATTCTTTGTTCTAAAACAAAATATAAAAACACACTGTGCATGAGGTTACTCTACCTCTTTGTCAGAATCAACCAACAATCTTGCAGCTGAAAAATTGAGTGAAAAACAGCAGGCACTTCAGTGGCTACATGACAGAGTCTCATGTTAAAATGTCAAACTTGCAATATTTGGGGAAAAAATCTTTTTTACAGCCTGATGGAAATATTGATTTGATTGACAGCACACCATCCAAGGTGTTTGTCAGGCCTGAAAACTGCTCTCACTGCATTTGTGCTTTTGGTCCCTTTTGGAACATTTTTAATGGAATTAACCTCCACAGGCTGCTTATATTTAATACTTTCACAATATAGTCGAGAGATTTTTAAAGTGAAAATGGTGAGAAAATTCTCAGATTGTTGGAATTCAATATTTATCACCATTATAATAATTTACCTCTATGCTCGCTGATATTTGCAAAACTCCTCACAACTACCAATAATGAACAAAAATTGCTTATTGCGAGTAAATCTGTGCACTCAACATAGTAACAGGACATCTTGCATGTGTGGAACTTGTAAATACATTTCCCACTCTAATATTATGACCTCCCTCAAACACTCTGTTGAGTTCTGCTCTCAGTAAGCTCAGAAGAAATTGACTGTAATTTGTTTCCTTTTAGATTATTCTGTAATGCTTCTGGTGTTTGTTGATGCAAAGGTAATATAATAATAATCACATTTATTTTCATTTATTTTCTAGTCTTCCAGACCACTCAAAGAGCTTTTAACTACAAGTCACACTTTAACTATACATTCATGCAGCACTTTATTCTTTACACTTAAAAAAAAATGTGTCCACCTTACATCCATGGCCTTTTTAGATACACCAGTTATTTTAGCCATGTTTTTGAACTGTGGGAGAAACCAACACAGGAACAGAGAGAACATGTAAACTCCACAAGTTCTGCGCCCCATCTAAGAAGTTTTGGTTTAGGTAAGTGGAATCAATTGTTTTGTGATGCAGAACTAATTGGCAGATATGTGTGTTTGTGCATGGTGCTAGCCAAGCCTGCCAGTCTTACCTTCTTGGTAACTTCTTGCTCCAAAAAACTAAGCTGGCTTTATAGACTGACATGGAATTTGATTAAAAAAAGATCCAAGCTGAGACCACTGTACAGGTAAACTTAAAACATTCCAGTGTGGACAGAAAAGCACAAGATTCAGGCCTGTATCTCTTAGAAAGACTTTTACAGAATGACTTAATCAGGAATGACAGTGAAAATAATCATGAAAAAATGATGCATTGCTTTAATCCTGGGGACTTCAAATTAAACAGTATAATGTTTTAGTAATTTACTATGTTCCTCTTCACTTTTCTCTTTGGGTGTACTTGTGTGTGAACCGTCTTGGCGTCCAAACCATCATTAGTTTCACTACATGTCTCTCCACCACGTACAAAGCGCTGCTTGCTTCCCTCTTTCGCTTTTCGTTACCTGCGGTCAGACGTGAAATATGTCAGTCTAAATATAAAGGTCAATAAGAGAACACAGGAAATGAACACATTGCCTCTAAACATAAACCACAAGTAATTCATTGTATCTCTCACTTCCCAGCGCTCCACTCTATAGACTTGTATTTCTACCTAAAGGGTAAGCGTAACATTTACTGTAAGTGGTTTTAAATTCATCAGTCACAGGTCAAACAAAAGAATAGGTTTGCTCTCTTCTTCGAGCTTATTCTTAACTTCCACCATTTATCAAACAATAAAATATTTCCTGCTTACTGCATTTCCCTCATTTTCTCAGTTTGTTTTTGGTAGGTTTCAGTTCTTTCTGCAAGATTTGAAGTCTTCTGACCTGCTGGCGTGTTCGAATTAAGTGCGTGCTTGCATCCACATTATTTTATTCCAGACATTCATGTTCATGCACCCTGATGTGTATCTGCCGATTCTGCATTTGCTGTATTAGCAGGGTGCACGGCAAAGTCTCAGACGGAAGAAAACTACAAGACTTATCTCTGTCACACAGCTTTTGGCCGAGCCATCTGACTGCTGGTTTATCTGCTCTGATGCACACCCTCTCACTGGGAAAGTGTCACTCCGCCCCCTCCTCCACCTCCTCATTCCTGCTGACTCCCTGCTCGCTGTCCTCTCTCGCCTCGCCGTCTTACCCCTGTCTGGATGCCAGTAGCTGCTAGTCATGGAGGATGCAACAGTCACACACGAGTAAGTGTTTGTTTTTGTTTTTTTGTCCCCACCACTACACATTGTTGTCAGCGCTGAACACAATAGAATTACAGCCAACAGCTCTTTTATCTTACCCAACTTAATAATGCTGCTGTGTTTATTCTCTTCTGCCTCTATGATAAATCATAATAAAAAAAAAAGAAACAGAAGCTTTTGAATCTGTTGTTACTGCAGCTCCTGCATTTGCACTTCTTGGTTTAAAATGCCAAGCTCAATGTGATGTTTGCTTTTAATGCAGAATTACGAAAAACATGAGGCCAGGTTGCTGATTTGAAATTGTTTCTCTTGCACTTGAGTAACAGTTGACGTTTAGATGTTGGTGAACCCATCTAACGATATATTTATTCAAAATTTAATTTCAGTGCAGAACCGTTAGTAACCATACCTTTAACATCAGCATTACAAGAGGAAGAAGGGGAAAAGGTGGGGGTGTTCACCGCACCTTTAACATCAGTATTACAAGAGGAAGAAGGGGAAAAGGTGGGGGTGTTCACCGCACCTTCAACATCTGTATTACAAGGAGAAGAAGGGGAAGACGTGAGGGTGTTAAGCGCACCTTCAACATCTGTATTACAAGAGGAAGAAGGGGAAAAAGTGCGGGTGTTCAGCGCACCTTCAGCATCAGCATTAGAAAAGGAAGAAGGGGAAGAAGTGGGGGTGCTCACCACAGACTCAGCAATAGCATTTCAAGGGAAGGAAGTGGGGCGGGTCACCACAGGAAGTGAAGATAATTGGGGGTCAAACAAAGCCTCTGCTGCGTTGGAACCAGTAGTGATGCAGCCCGGCCTTGGCATCACCAAAACCACCATCACCACCATCACTCAGACTGGAGGGGACTGGAGCACTGGCCTGCTTGATGTCTGCAGAGACAAGACAACATGTAATGTAGACACACAGCCAGATACTGTATTTCTATGTAAGCCCAGGCCTCTCATCCACAAGACAGTAAGCAAATGTGACATTTCCTTTTAACCCTAAATAATTTAGATTATTTTATAAACATAATAATATTTTTAAAAAAACATAAATATTGATTGTTCTAAATAATAATGCCGAATGAAGGCCATAACAACTTCAACACATATTAGACTTTTGTCTAGCTTTTGGTAAAAAAAAACAACCGGATACACAAAAACAGCAACTCAGCTCATAAAAATATGGAACAATCTAAAAGTAACGGCCATGCCGTCCAAAGAGACCATTAAAACGGAGACGCTATAAGGTCACAGAACTTGATGGTCACACCTCATATAAGAGCTCTTCTTTAACAGCAGCTCTTCCACCTTTTGAACTTTAACTTCTTGAACTGTAAGACCATCCTTGGGTTGCTATGGTAATAAAAGCTGAAAATAAAGGCCTGATCGACATAATTCCCAGGCCTCTGCCCCACTGCAATAAACTTACACTTTCTGCATTAATTCATTTGAGGAGGCTCTCTAGAGGTATGCTGTTGCCCTTCTACATAGACCTCCCTTAATGACATGCTTTCAGTTGGACAGAGGGCTGGGAATTATGGTGACCAAGTCTTTATTTTCTGTTTTTATTCCCATAGCAACAGGAGTGTAATGCAGCATAGGGTGGTGCATTGCCCTGCATGAAAATATATATATTTTTTTAATATCGTGGCTGTAAATGGTCTGTAATACATAAAATATTTCACAGAGGTCACTTTGGCACCCTCAGAGATCCTAAGGGGCTTTACTGTTTCACGTTGCATTATTCCAGCTCAGATCATCACTCAGCCTCTGCTGCTGATGGTACAGTCTCGTTGGAACTAGGTGACCATTCACCAGCTGTCCAGAACTCCATTCAGCTAAACCATCAGATGTACCATAGCATACAATTCATATATGAAATAAAAAGGTTTGAAACTTAGTCTTAGTTTAGAGCCAAGTGCAAATAATTTCAAATAGCAGCAGTTTCAGATATCCATTTACTACCTTTTTCTTCTTCCAGTGGTGCTTTACATTCTGCGTTATGTCAATATATTGAGATATAGTTAATACTATAATTATAATATTAATATTAATGAATATTACCCATTTATTTTATAGTTCAGTTGCATCATTTCAGTTTTAACAAACTTTTAATAACTCATCTCTTGCAAAACAATTTAGTATTTAAGCATTTTTTTTATCTTAAGATTATTTATTTTCAGCACAACTGCTTTAAGTAGCTTTTCTTTTAATTAAGATTACGTAGATTTTTCTAAACTGAAAATGATTGGGAACACAATGTATTTTGCTTTTCCCTTAACTTGTTTCTACAAAATGAACAGCCAATACATCATCATTGTCTCTTTCTAAATGTACTTTTGGATCTGACAGAGACATATAAGAAGGATTTTGTCTGGCGTAAACAAACAAACACTCATGTACCCACATGCTGCGTTGTGCTCGCAGGTATTCTCGGGGCTCTCGTGCCGTGCTGTTTAGACCTGAGTTTAGCTCACCAATACGGGGAGTGTCTGTGCATGCCTCTACTACCAGGATCCACTTTTGCCATACGAGTTGGGATCAGAGAGCGCTACAAGATACGGGTGAGTGTGTGTCCATGTGTGTGCAGGTATACAGTATGCTGTACTGTTGTGAGAGCGTCCTTGAAGACAGAGGAAGGCAAATTTGTCAAAATGGACCCTGTTCATAACGCCATAAAGTTTCCAATGAAATAGAAACTGCACCACCGCACTCATTTTTTTAGGGCTGTGACGTTTCAGCCGTTTTTAAAACTCCAACTCTAGTAAATGGAAAATCGACCCTTGTACTGGTTCTTTCTAAATGGTTATCAGTAAAATATGCATGTTATTTGTGTAAATGAAGTTCTGTGTTTGCATTTTTCATCTTATCATGTACCCATCCTGCTCCCACTGCATTGTTGTTGTGTGTGTGTGTGCTTCTGTATGTGTTTGCATGTAGACGTGCACTCATCTGTCCTGCATGCTTATTCACAGGGAAGTGTGTGTGAGGACTGGACTACAGTGTATTGCTGTTACCCTCTGGCTGTATGTCAGATGATAAGAGAAATGAAGTGGAGGATGAAGACTCAGACATATCATGTGTCTACTACACTCGAATGCTCCTAAAGAAACAGCAAATGAGATCTTTTTTCTTCTTTTTTTCAATTTATCATAAATGTGTGAAGAGCAGCAGAGATTACTGGTATGAACAATAGGATGAATCATTACTCTGAGGTTTGAACTTGCCCCCGAGGGCTTCTTGAATAATAAAAAACAAGCCTGTGATACAAATACTTAAAAGTGATAGAAAAGGGAAAACTTAAAGTAATGGCATACATTAAAGGTACATCTGTAAGACGTGAACCAACACAGATGAGTTTCTTGCCTTTGTTCAATTGCAGATATTTTTTAAATGTAGTTAGTTCAAAGATCATTAAAAGCCATTAAATCTGGATTAGTGCATATAGAATAATGCAGAGCAGTTTTTTTCTATGAAGGTATTGGTCTGATTAATTATATTTGAAAGATCGGCTTAACCAACTTTTTACTGCAGCATTAAATTCCAGCACTTATAATTCTTAAATCATCTATAATTTTGGTTTTAGAAACAGCCTGGGTTAACTTCTGTGACTGAGGTAACTGCGCGCCATTTTACATAATGAAAATTTAGAAAGACTCAAGTAAGTTTAGCTTTTTACAATGCCTGTTACCTACACCACTGAAGCCGCTATCACACAGACACTTTTAACAAACCAATAACTAGAACACACGCAGAAACAAGATGAGCTCCTTACAGTTAAAAAAAAAAAGGATGTGTGATTGCATTAGGTATTTGTACTTAATATTGGGAAACTTTAATAATTGAGAACAACAAAACACATCAAAACAAACTAAAACACACATTCATTTAAAAAAACTAAATATATTCCTTCTCTTTTCGTAATCTCTTGTCAAAATATGCAGTTTTACTTTTTAATATTTTTTTTTATATATAAGGGAATTTTACTGTTTACCGGTGTTGGCACTAAGTACCAGCCCTGCACAGGTTGGCACATAACAGAGTGAATTTTTTTTTTTTTTTTTTGATAATGTAATGTTTCCTCATGTGGCCATTCTGTTAGTGCATAATCATGCCTGTCTAAACTGAAAGATGATTTTATACAAGATTAATATAATGTTTGTAATCAATACATTCATTGACTATAGTAATATATTCTTACATGTAACCAGTCTAGACTTTTAAACATTGTTCCAGTGGTTGTTCTACTCACAACAAAGCTTAACTCTGTCTGCTATGTTTTGTACCTTTTGCAATTTCTTGATGTAGTTTTAAACCTTATTGCTGGGCAATAATGAGATGAAAGCACAGACTCCATATAAAAGATATGTTTGAACATGAAGTCACCCTCTGGTGAGTGCAGAAAAATTGTGAAGCTTCAAACTGAGTGTTTTTTTTTTTTTGTGCTTTTACTGTCTGGGTGTTTTGAAACCAGATATGACTGATGGTTGATGTAAGTATGTAAAATGCAATTTTACTGCATTTTTTTTAAAGAAGAAAAGTCACAGTATAACTTAAAAAAGATGAAAAGGTGTTATATATAGATCAATAGAATGACAAAAAGCAGACTTGCTGCTTATCAGTAGTGTCCACTGATCCAGTGGGAGTGAGTGGTACAACCAGGATGTAAAAGCTCACTAATCTGAACATAAGGAGTTGTGAAAGTAGTCACCAAAGTCTCACAGGAACACAGAACCATTGCTCGGACAAAGGAATAATTAATTTCAATAACAGAGGTGTGATGGAATTAAAGCATGATCATTTCCATATCAGATGAAACACAATGTAATAAAGCTGGGCAATGCTCTGCAGATAATAAAAACAGTATCATACAAGACAACCATCATGTTTTATCAAACCCGAACACCTAATCAAATGTAACAGCCAGACCTCTGAGGGAGGGGAAACCTCAGGATCAGATGGGTGAAGGATTGTCATTCACTATGGGATCCTAACTGTTTGTTTGTTTGTTTGCATATTTAGTGGCATAGAGTTAGGTGGCTCTGACTAAGAACCTTAAGAATACTGCAAGCTTACTGACCAGCAACTTGCCATTTAAAAAGTAAAGCTCACCTTGCTTTGTCCTCCTTTTTGAAATGTTTATTTGCATTTCAGAGCAAAACCCCCATCAGCAACCCATCAGGAGTTGCCCCCTGCTTCATTCATAGTTTTCACATGACATCAAAGCTACTGAGACACCACGACATTAATACTACTGGAATGTTCTGGCCCTACAGTGTAAGTGTCAAAGTAAACAAAACATTAGATCTTGTTCTTTACCTTCCACATGGAGCCATTATTTACCCATCCAGATCGAAAAAAAACCCATGTAGCTGTCTGTACTTTGAAAGCTTTCTTCGTCGCAGCAGTGTAAGGTGAGTGATTCTTTTCAAGATACACTTAGATGTCACTGAACTGGAGCTCTGAGAGAGACATCCCACTTTCAGGGATTTAAATAAAGCTGCCGGGCAAAATATGGATCACAAGCGCCAAAATTCCTAGTTTCTCTTGATATCTTAATATTTCCTCCATGGATAGATGGTACAAGTATTCTTGGCTTGATACAGGCAAAAAAAGCCCCCCAAAAAACTTTTGTCCTGCAGTACTACCGACTGTCCACTATTGGCCATCATGATGGAGTAATGTTTTGCCCTCCAGGGTAGCGAGTTGGTCAACGCAGCTGTAAAACTATGAATTAGAATGAATATAAACTTAAGGCACTACATTGGCTTTAATTTTTTACCATATCCATTTTTTATATACAGTCTATGTAGGAGAGCAGTCTAATTAATTTTTTTTTTTGTGTGCGTGCGTTTAAAATATAGCAAGTGTTTTATTGACCTGTTTTGTTTAACATAATTTACTAGGATAACAAGAAGTTTGGTCTCACAGGCTCATTCAATACATTTATACACATATATTTAATATATGAATATATTTAAAGCTGAATTCTTTGTAATATAGTGCTTTGAAGTCATGTGTTTATAGCTTCTTGTTTTAAACACATTCCGAACCAATTTATTATTCTGCATTACTTCAACTGCTTGATTGCACCTCTAAATTTAAAGCCAAATTCAAATCACTGACACCGAGCCACATATATATTAAATACTGGCTGCAGTCGGGTGGTCATTTATAAAAATAGGATACAACAGGAGGCACGATGTCTTTCCAAAAGCAATGTCCCTCGTGTTTTGGATATTAGATGTAGCTCACTGATAACAGTTCATTATTTTTTTAGCTTGAAGGTTGTTATAAATTAAGTAACTGTGAAATCTCATATGTGATATGTGTGACTCACCCGGTTAATTGTGTCTAGAATGCCAAAGGTCACCAGACCCATTAATGTGATCAGTCCCCCTGAGATGTGAAGGAAAGATGAAGTGAGGAAACATAATGCTTCCCAGACCTTGAGGCACAAACTGTGCAATGAGCACAGGACCCTATCTGCAAATCTCATTTTAATGTCCCATTTAAAACTAAATCCAACTAAAGCCAGGGAAGAACAGAAAGCTGTAAGCCAATTAAGTCTGACCCAAGCAGTCATTTGGTTACTTATGTAAACATAATTGCTTTGAAGAGTTTGAAAAATATACTTCTGTGTACAGGATGAAACAAGTGTGTGAGTCCATTTGATAAACACAGCCAACTGCCTCATTAACTGACTACTGACTGAATAATACCACTGAGTAGTCCTGCTTACAGTCAGTTGTTGAAGTATATCATGAATATCTTGGTCCTCATGTGTAACGCAATGTAAAGCAAAACCAAAGACACGAACTCAAACAGACATTTCAAAAAACACATTTCACTTTATAGAACAAGTCTAGACAAAATGTCACTTTTGTGATCATTAGTGTTTAAACTATCCTATTTGACAGTTTAAATTAATCTCCTGCTTCTAAACTGCTTTATGCAGCATCCTTGAGTGAACTTTAAAAGAAAAAGAGTTTTCAGAAGTCGTAATTCTTTGAAACTTGCTTCTGCAGTATGAACATATACCAAGAATTACATCACAGTATTAATAAAAGAAATAAATTGAATGAATAAATTGAAATATTCCTTTATGATTCTAGTATTTCATATCATTTCAGATTTTATTTTAAATCTTCATAAGGACACCGCTGAGAGTGATATACAATAGAAACATTGACTTGTCATTCAGGGACTTGGGTTGCATTTTAAAAGTTCTTTTAGCCTAGCCAGGTTTCCAACTGAGTAAAATCACCTGGAAGTATCTAAAGTTATTGAAAACTGGTCAAATTATTTAAAAGAACGGATTCAAATGCTTTGTTTCTTAACCTCCCTGAGCTTGGTTTTGCTTAAGGTTTTTTCCTGTTATAAAGGAGTTTTTCCGTCCCACTGTTGCAAAGTGCTTGCTCATAGGGGGTTTTCTCTGTATTATTGTACGGTCTTTACCTTGCAATATAAAACACCTTGAGGTGACTGTTGTTGTGATTTGGCGCTATAAAAATGAAACTGAACTGAATTAAATTGTTGAAAATAAATAATGCCATTCCTACGCTCTCTGGCAGCAACACTCAAAATGACACTTCATCCTTCTGTTCATCAGTTTTCACAGTTACATAGTTACTTTATGTAGGCCACTCAGAGTCCATAGTGGACTACATACAGTCCACAGAGTCTCTGAGCAGGTTTTTGGACCTTTTGACATGTAATACTGGGTTCATTCAGAAAAAAAGCACACA